CCCACTTCTACCCTGGCTTCCACATTTCCATTTGTCCAGCTTTCTGAATTTTGCTTTTGGGCAAACGTTATCTTTTCGTCTCATTCGTTGAATGTTCTGTGGAGCACAAGCCTCATGGATGTTACCGTTCACTTTATAGGCCTGCTTACTGTTAGGCTGTAAGGTGGTCTCCAGGAGTGGGCTCATTTATGAGTTTAAAGGATGACTAAGGGCCATAGTCCCAGGGGTTCCACCAGTCCCTGTCAGACTAGGAAGTCTGGTCTTTCTAATTAATTAGAATTTTGTTCTACATTTTTCTTTCATTCTGTCCAGGACCTTCTATTTTGATCCCAGACACAGCTGTTGGTAGCGGTAGCCGGACACCCTCTGTTCTTCTGGTCTCAGGCTTCCACACACATTTTCATCAAGGGCAATATCAACCTCAAAGGGGTAAAACTTGGCTCTTGCTATGTGATAATGAAAAAATATCTTAGATATTAAGAAGGCTTATGGCCCTCCAACAGGTCAGAGCATTATCTGCTATACTGATATTTTATGGTGGCAGCAGGGAGGGCAATTAGGGAAAAATGTCCAAAATGTCTTCGTAGCTGGGGTGATAATGAAGAAAAGTGGAGGAACAAGTCTCCACCAACCAGTTTCATTGAGTAATAGTCACTTCTTCTTACACTGGGCAGATAATCAGGGACCACTGCAAAATATCACAAGGTCATATATCTATTACAATAATATAATAACTCTATTCTAAGTGCCACCAAATGGCTTCCAACTCTCAGCAACCTTAGGCGACAGAGCAGAACTGGCCCACAGGGTTTTATGAGCTGTAATTCCATAGTGATACTGCCTCGGAAACCTAAGGAGGTGTCGCTATGAGTCGGGGCTGACTTGACGGCACATAACAACAACAACAATCTTTAAGGGGGCAGATCACCAGGACTTTTTTCCTTGGAGCCACTGGGTGGATTCAAAATGTCAACCTTTCTTTTGGTCAGCAGCCAAGCTCTTAACCATCGGACCACCATGGCTCTGAGTAATTATTTGTTGTTTATATGTCTCCCTTGCTACACTGCAAGCTCCGGGAAGGTAAGAACTGTTAGGCATTGGCCACCCTTACATCCCTAGCTCCCTCAGGGCACAGTGTCTGGCTTGAAGAAAGTATCAATGAATAATTACATGGAAGCAACCAGAGAGAGAGATAGCCACACAGAATCCTGCTACGTCACGTTTCCACACAGTCTCTCCTGACTTGGCTACAGACAGACAACCATTAGCCATTTCTTCTATCCCTGCCCACACCACTCATCACTTCTTAAAGAAATCTCCCAAATGATATCCCATCAGGGTCAACTGACTTAATACTCTTTATCTGATGTACAAAAACAACAAAAATTCTATCCACGTTTATCAGAGACAACCCCAGGAATAGGGCTGGCAGATTTACCAAATAAAAATAAAAATACAGGCTGTACTGTTAAATTAGAATTTAAGATAAAAGATGAATAATTTTTTTAGTATATCCTAAACATTGCAGGAGCTCTGGTAGCATAGTGCCGAAGGCACTTGACTGCTAACCAGGAGGCTGGCGGTTCAAACCCACCAACCACTCCTCGGAAGGAAGGTTGGGCAATCCTACTTCCGTAGTGATACTGCCTCAGAAACTCAAGGAGGGGTTGCTATGAGTCGGGGCCGACTCGACGGCACATAACAACAACAACAACAAACATTGCATGGGACATACTTATATCTATAGTTTAAAAAAATTACTCACTATTTATCTGAACTTGAAATTTGAATGTAACTGTGTTTTGATATTTCCTCTGGCTCCCTACCCATGAAATCCCAAGCTATCAGACTGAGAGACTGTACATCAGCTGGCCTTACTGTCTTCCATCCTGTTTTCATCTTGTCTTTGCAGCTGGGTTGTGGGAGAGGGGGAATGTTAGTAGGATGTAAAAACATTACACTGAGACCAGAAAAGCAATGCACTGGGAGAGCTGATGAATCACAAGCCAGCTGCTAATATTTTAGCTGCCCTGCAGAGAAGGTGGGCATTGGGAGGAGAGGAGATTTCTGGTCGTGGCAAGAACGTTCCAAAACAACACCTTGCCTTGTATGCTTGTTGTCATCAAAGGGGAGGAGGTGTGAAAAGGTTTCACCCCGGAGGTGACCCACATGATTGAGCCACGGAAAGAGATTCACAGTCACCAAAGGAGAGCGACACTTTTCTTTATAGTGACAGACAGATTCCAGTTAGTAATTCCCCCACCACCACTTTTTTAAACTAAGAAAATTCTTTTCACAGGAAGAGAAAGGGGGACATAGAGAAATGACCCTAGTATTCAGCCGGAATAAGTATTCATTGGGATTTTCTTGGCAAAACTAGGAGGTGGTGTTTTGACTTTGAATTGGCTTGGATTTCCTTTTTCTTGTCCTAGGTTATAATCTCATGATGAGACAAAGAGTGAGTATCACACTTGTAATCATGCAACAAAATGCATTGCTAGAATCTGGCTGACCCGCTTTAATGGCCCTATTTTCCTAACTTTGTGGATGACAGAATAAGTAAAAGAGGAATAGAAAAGACTGTCCTAGTTGTTGCTGGGTGCCACTGAGTCCATCACAACTCACAGTGCTCCCACGTGACAGAGCAGAACTGCCCCGGAGGCAGACTGCCGGGTCTTTCTCTCAAGGAGCCAGTGGTGGATTCAAACCTGGAGCCTTTCAGTTAGCAGGCAAATGCTTAACCACTGTGTCACCAGGGACCCTTCAAGGTAGAAGCCAACCAACTCTACCAAACTGCTGCATAAATAAGCGCTTGGGACCGCTGGGAATCATCCCCTTACTTTAATTTATATTTATGTAAAAAACAGACTGAATGTAACTCAAGGCAAAACCGGAAAGTCCTTGAGTCTGTTACAGAGTCCCTGGAAGGGAAGCTTCTTGCCCATACTCCTGGTGTTACCAGAATTCAATCTTTCCCCAAAACGCACGTCTATGGCAGGACGGGAGGATAACGATTTCGGGAAGCCCTTGAGATAATAACCTTGAACTTGGGTGGTCCACTTACGGGGGTAGAGATTCTGCAGGTGTGAAACTGTACTGCATGGAATCAACGTCTTACTGAAATGCAGATCTGGGTGGAAAAGTCATACACTTCTCAAACCTTCCTGGTCCCTACTCACAAAAGTTCCAGAGGAGTTAAGGTAGCTAGAGTCTTCTGTACGAATCTATGGCATGTTTCACCGGCAGCTACCAAACCGTCCCCCACAGACAGCAGGACTGCGCTCTGAATTCCTCTCCTCCACTGCACTATCTACTAACCCACACCTTCTCCCCCTCATTGCAGAACAAAATAAGGAAACGGAAGGATGCCTTCACAGCCTAGTTAGTTTACACAAATACAGATTCAGCTACGAGAACTTTCTGCTAAGCTTCTATTTACATATACAATCCCGTAACTACAACATCCAGCTGGGGAAATGTCTTCATAAGTTCACTCCACTTAGTGGCGAACGGATGATATGTAAACAAATTCCCAAGCATGCTGGCCCAATTCAGGGACCCTATAATTGACGCTTTCAGACAAACAGTGGATTCTTCTAAGCCACTGGAGGAGTGATACAAGGCAAACTGACTTCTCTGTGATTGTCACCTCGCAGAGACACTGAAATCCAGTCCTCTCTGCTTCCATTCACTGCTTTTCTGTTGGCTTGTTTTTGCCTGCCAGGCATCTGTTTTGGTTCAGTATGAGCATGGTTAGTACGAAGAATGGAGGGAACAGACCACAGAACGATGAAATTGTTATCTTAAAGTTAGAAGAGTATTTCCCAAAGTGTGGAAAGCATACCTCTGGTGGGACCAGCTTTGATGTCAGGTGGTGCAGAGGTAGGACATTTAATAGCACTTAAATAGTGAAAAATACTTTTCCCTTTTCAATTCTCACTTCAACCTTCTAACAGCTTTCAGGACAGAGTCTCAGTCTAGGCCACCCTGGGTCACTGGCCTTCTGATAAAGTTGGTATCAGATCCAGCAGCCAAGATGACGAGGCTGTCTGAATGCAACATGTTTCTTTTTAGTCATTATTTATTTTTAATACAAATAAACAACAACTAAAAAGAAAAGGTAACTTTAAAGACATTACTGACATTCAGCAAATAGCTCACTTCTGAACAAAAATTTTCATGTAACAAGTACAACAGTTACACCTTACAATTCACAATCTGTTTCACGGTTTCAAATTTTAGTCACAAATAAAATCCAAAATGTTCATAGAAACCGAATCAAATCAGCTAGTTTCTTTGGTGTAGTATCTTGGTTTGTTAGCTCTATTAATCATTACCTTTCTTTCAGGAAAAACGATTCTGGGTTTCTGTGTATGGTGAAACATAAAGTTTCCTTTTAAGGTAAATTTAACTAGGACCTGGGTCAATTTAAAGCAAAGTATCATATAAATAATAGGCTATCTGGCAAAAACGGTGAAGACGGTATGCAAACAACGGACATTTGGGAAACACCGAGTTAAAAGAATAATTCCAGAACCCTGGTCCCACACTGGGAAGAAGCCAGATTGAGGAGTGTGTGGCAAAGGGGACTTACAGAGTCGGTGGGATTTAACTCACACACCTTTGCCAGGTGCCCGAGTTGATTCTTCTGACTGCTGGTGCCCCACATGGGTCAGAGCAGAACTGTGCTCCACAGGGTTTGCAATGGCTGATTATCAGGCATTTGCGATGGCTGATTATCAGGCATTTGCGATGGCTGATTATCAGGCATTTCCTCCAAGGTACCCTAGGAGGATTCGATCCTCCAACCTCAGCTTAGCAGCTGAGCGTGTTAACTGCACCACCCAGGGCCTTCCACCTCCCCTTGAATTCCCCTCATGGTGCCAGCCAAGGCTCTTTCTTCACTGAAGCAGAGTGGGGTGGCTGGAAGATGGGCGTGTGTACCTTATGGTGAAGACCAGGGTTCTTTTTGTTTCTTCCTCATACAGCAAGATACAGACCTTATGCCTAAAGAACTTTCTAAAGGCCAGTGCTAGCCTGGGGCTATCCACGTGCTTTTTCTTGGCGTCTTTTGCCTGGATCTCTGATGTCTTCTGACCAGCTTGTCCGTCACAGATACTCTCTGTTTTGGATGCCTTTTGGGCAACAGCAGTCACAGCTTAGAACTTTGTTTTTAAATAAAACCCACCTTTTTCTGTTGTTTTGAAGCTCATTAATACACTCCGCTATCAAAGGCTCTTATATTCCCCTAACCCCCAACCACAAACAAGACACCATGTGAATGTTTATCTTTTTAAACTCTCAAAGATGATTTGCTAAAGAGAATATTCACAGGCAATTTCAGGTTCACATTGACTTTCCACAGGGTGACCTATTTAAATGACCCAGATTAACCCAATTCTATGTGCTCAAAATGATAACACGACACTTAAGCTCTGTCGACATGCCATAAATTATCCAGGTGAAAATGGGGGGGGGGGAAGAAAAAGAAAAGGCAGTCCTTATTCAACAGCTTTAAATACCTAAATGCAATTGTAAATGGGAACAGAGACATACTTAAAGATAATGATGTACTGCTACACCCTGGAGTCAAGGCAGACACTGTGGCTGAATGACTTCCATACTCAAGCTGATCACCTTTAATTAAGTATAAGAAACTTCATGGCACGCAGTACCACTAGCAAATACTTCAGCTGACTTTTAGATGAACACATCTCCTGGGCAAAGGAAGTTTCCAGTGGGAACCACTGCCCTGAATCAACATGGGGGGAGAATGGAACTGAAACAGCCCCGTCATAACGACTCAAAAGTGTTGACTCAAGTTACATATGGCAGGGAATGGGGGCGGGGGGCATTGCTTAGGCTGTGCAGAAACCCACGTGGGGCAGATGGGAAGATGAGTAACTGGAGTAGACATTCCAAAAGCACCAATCTAAGCATCTCAGCAAAAAGGATGTCAAAAAGGCAGGTGAGGTATGAGAATCAGGTGTGGAAAAGAGGTCTGCTTGTGGGTGTGACAACAACCTACCCAGACACCTTCTTTTGAGACCCAGCTCCTCCAGTGGTGCTGGCTGGGAGGTACGTTCAGTTGGGACCACATTCTGGGTCAAAGAAGAGTGTTGGTGCGTGACGAGTTGAAGGGAGTGACTGCATCAGGTCACTTGGGGAGCCACACGACACACCCACATTGCCCACTGTTTATAGCCTATTGTGCTGACCACGTGGCTTCCAACAATGCCGCACACAGAACCCAAAGAGAAACATTTAGACTGAACCATTCATTGAACTGGCTCCAGTTGCCTTGTACCAAAGGAGTAATTTTATAGGAAACACGTATTTAGATGTCTAGGATATATGTGTATATATTTTTAAGTGAAAGATGAAAATTCTACTGAATCAATCAATAAAATATGAACGGTGTACGTACAATGAAACCTGTGAGAGCTGGAACTCTAAGGGACTGCCTTGTTTTTCCAGGTCTTGCAAGTGTTTCACCTTTGACAAGGTGCAGTCTTACAACTTATCTATCACTTGTTTTAGTGGAAAATATTGAGTTTTCCTTCTCTGACAGGTTTCTATCTTACATAGGTTCCAGCTTTTGCAGGTTTTACTGTAATTCATAAATAACATTCACCCATCTTGCAATTTATGGTAGAAATAAGGATTACCTACATTTGAATAGAGCTCTATGGCTTACAAGGCACTGTTATACCTTCAGTCAACCCTGGGGTTGGGCAGGTAGAATTTTACTGTACCCATTTTACAGATGTGGAGGCTTGGGTTCAGGTTTGGACCACACAGCTATCAAGTAACACAATCAAGCATAAGTGTCGGTCCTCAGAGATAAAATCTAGACTCTCTTCACAACATCTTAGCTGCTAAAATATGGGCAGCAGATGTATCGGGCTGGCCACACCATTTATTTAGTCTTGGGTGTCTTTCAAAGCATTTTCACCTACGAAAAGAAGGATGCGGAACCGGTAGCTGTCAGCCAGTTAAACCTTCTTCATGGCTCCCATGAGATTTAAGCCATGTGTTCCACTGGAGGAAAAGGAAAACATCTCTAGGAAGTAGTTGTTCCGAATCAAATTCATTGTGCAGAGAACTGGCTGCGAGTCTAGGAAGAGAGTCAATAATGCCTGCTTTCTAGGACACCCTAACTCTTCCACATCTCCCTTCGTTTGGCAAGTGTCTGGTGGAGACAGTTTCCCTGAAGAACGCATCTGCAAGGAAGGGTTATTTTTCAAAACAGCAGAACATAGAGCAGCTTTCCTCCACCTCTGATTCTGGCTGCACCTCCCCCTCACCTCCAGGGCTGATTTTATGACATGACCTGGGTCTCTCTGTTCATAACCAAGAAAAATTAAGACAAGAAGTAGACTTAAGACAATGATGCCGTCACCAGTGCTCCTCTTATTCTAGCTAAGAAACCAGTGATGGGGACGCAGTTCAGGCAGAACTGGTGTATCTCTCAAGCTCCTGCTAAAATGGTCATTAAAATACCATTAGTGTAAATGAAACTTTTAAAGACAAGCAAACAGCAATATTAAATCTTGAAATAAGTACACAGATATACAAAATTTAAGAAATAAACAAGCAGATAAAAACCCAAATGCAATTCTACGCACAAGTGCAAACATACACAATTCACCTACCGTGTCTTCACGATCTTTCTTTGTTTCAGCTTTGTTGGGTGAAACCTTAAAAGTTTGAGAAAAGCAAAGTTAAAAATCATAGCTCTTTAGGGTGATTTTTAGTTCATAGATAGTTCTCTTAACAGATGAAGGAAATGAGAAGTCCTTTCGGGATGGTAAAAATTCAAGGACTTTTGGGTAATATCTACATACACAAAAGGCAGCAGCTAACTAAATTCATGTTTTAAGGGAAACCCATCAGAGCTTACAAATTCACCAAGAGTTTAACGACATTCAAACTTATGCTGCTGCAGGCCACGGACTTTCCAAGGATTCCTCCATTACTCCAAACTAATGCAACCTGTTTGGTATGGAGGTCACATTCTGTCGACTTTCTTGTTGGCTTGCTTTATCTTTTGACATTAGTCTTGATATTTGGAGAAAACCCAAACGCAATTTGGTGCTGTCTCTTTAATTATGCATTCATTCACTGTGCCCTTTTTGAGTGTCTGCCTTGTACCAAGCCATGGGCTCTGGGGAAACAATAGTGAACAAGTCCAGGGAGACATGGTCCCTGCTTCAATCCAATTAAAATAGCAGACTCAGATGCAGCCACACAGAAAATGATTTCCAGTGTTTCACTTGCCACCTGAGTGGAAAAACTGCTTCGATAGATCAATAACACAAGGAGGAAATTTCCAATTACTTTTGGGATCTGTGACCACAAAACACCATCCAATTATTCCATCATCATACAACTTGTCTTCCATAATTTGCACACCCAGTGTTCGCATCATGGTTCCCAACTCCAATGGCTCATTCACCAAAGGCTTGATGTCAAACCATTCTCTTACAAAGCATGTCTCATCCCTGTTCTCCCACGTTCCAGCTGCGTCTTGATGCTAATCTGTTCAGTACATTAACTTTCAAGTATGCATGATTTTCAGCATCAACCAAACCACTGAGCAACAGGGTTGAGAAAAAAATAGAGGCAACTACTTACCAGCGTTTTAAAGAAACTCATGATGGAATTATTATTCTCTGTAGTGTCTGTGGTCTGGGGGTTCTCCTTTGTAATCTCCAGTTCTTCTGGGGCCTCCGGGACAGTTGTGACTTCCTGTCCTTCTTTTTCCTTGCTGTCAACTAGGTCCTAGGAGCAAAACAGAGTTTTCACAGTTGTAACTTGTTGAATAAGGACTCTCGAAGTATTATTTCTGCTTCACACCCTTTTCTCCTGTACCCCCTAATTCCAGCCATACTTCTCCTGCCCACAGGCTTGCAGAACAATCGGCAGCTTATGAGAATCACTCTTCCTTCTCCTCCTCCTCTTTCTAACAGATTCAGCATTTGCAATTGGTTGCAGGGACATTGTTTCGAGCTAGAGAGGAACAAACGAAGAACTGCCTGTTGCATTCCAAACAAAATCCCCTTTCTCCTAATTCTGCAAAGATGTTGTCAAGACACCAATATTTCCCATTGTTGTGGTCTCCTTGTCTAATGATCTGTACATTATCCCCAAAGAGGCCTCTGTTTGTTTTCCTACAATCCCCACTGGGTAAATTATAGCAAAAAAAAAGCTGGTGCTTTAGGACAATAATCGTGCTTTTGGGATCTGGGAGTTTATGGGTGCGAGGAATGTGATCCAGGGACAGAGTGTCTCCTCCAACTGCGTTTCGAATCTGTCCTCCTTTCCCCATCTCTACGCTCATGGCTTTGGGCCAAACCACGGTCACGAGGTGACCGGAACAGCCTCTGCCCTGTCTGCTTGGGCCCTTGCTGCCTTTCAAGCCATCCTTTATTCAGTTCCATCCTCACACTACTTTCCTCCCTCCATTGGCTTCCCACTACCCTTAGGATCAAGTCCAAGCTCCAAAACAGAGTCTCCAAGGGCTTACAGTGGGAAGCCAGGAACGGGCAAATATTAAGCAAGTATACGAACATGCCGTAACAGCGAAGACAGAAAGGGGCCAGGTTTTTGGCAGAGATGTGAACAAGGAAAGGGGGCTTTCAGGTTAGAGATGAAGAGCAGGCATTTACAGCCTGAAGGGTGCATGGGAATTACGCACAGGCATAGAGAGCGAAGAAAGCTCAGGGCAGAAAGCTCTGAGTTTAGGACTAGCTGGTGCCGTGTACGAGAAACTCAAAGAAAGGTGGCCAGAGAGAGCAGCATGAAGGAGAGAGGGGAACAGACAGGCTGGATTCACCTTCCTGCAGCCTAGAAGAGTTCTGGGCACATGGTTGGCCTTCCATAAATAGCTGCTCAGGCAGATGAATGGGAAGGCCTACAACGGACGTAGAGGCGCCCTGGTGGTGCGGTGGGTAAGGACTCGGCTGCTAACGGAAAGGTCAGCGGTTCCAACCCATCAGTAGCTCTGCTGGAGAAAAGATCTGCTGATCTGCTTCCATAAAGATGGTTGTTCTGTGCATCGAGTTGATTCCTACTTACAGTGACCCTATGAGTCGTTATGAGCCATAAAGATTACAGCCTATGAGGCAGTTCTACTCTGTCCTATAGGGTGGCTAGGAGTCAGTGTGAACGTGGCAGCACACAACAACGTGTGGAATTGTGAAATAACTCATGTTCCCCAGTAGTGTGGTCCTGTGCTGGTTGGCTGGGAAAGAATTAAAAAACAAAACAAACAAACAAAAAAAACCTTTGGTATCGAGTCAGTTCCAAGTCCTACAGCTCATACAGGACAGAGCAGAACTGCCCCATAGGGTTTCCCAGGCTATAAATACAGACGTAGACTGCTGCTGGTGGATTTGAACTGCTGACCTTGGAATTAGCAGCTGTGTGCTTAACCATTGTGTCACCAGGGTAAGGATAAGGGGTCAAGAAGCCAGAATTACAGAGACTTCAGTTAATGATGAGAAATGGGCTCCTTCTTGCCCTCGAGCCCCTGTATTTAATTTTTACAACATTGAATTTTTACTGCTTGTACTACACAAGTTGGGCTAAGTTGCTACTCATCAAACTACCCCTGGAAGTTACCCTGGGACTAGAAATTCAGAAAGTGTTCTGAGTATTCATGAAGTAGTCTATGCAAAGGGTCAATAAACAGTTCTAAAATAATTTATTTCATTTTGTTGCTGAAAATATACACAGCAAAACATGTAAAACTCAACAGTTTCTCCATGTACAATAACTCAGTGACATGGGTGACATTCTTCGAACTGTGTAGCCATTCTCACCCTCTTTCTGGATTGTTCCTCCCCCGTTAACATAAACTCATTGCCCTCTAGGCTTCCTACCTAGTCTCAAGCTGCTGTTGTCAGTCTGATCCCATACAGACAGTTCTTTAAGTCAATAAGTCTCTTGAACAGCTTTAGTGGGGTATAACTGGCATCCATTTCCATAATGACTGACACACAGCAGATGCCAAGAAGCCTTTGTCAGGTGGATGATGAAGGCCCGTACCTTCCTCTCCCTGTCTGTGAGATCACTATGCGCGCCACCAGGCTTCCACCTCCTCTCTTCAGATGCCAGGTCACTTCAAACTTGTCCATTCTTAGGGCTCTGGCTCAAGCCTGCCTCCTCCCACTGCACTCTTCCTGGTCATGCCACACACGGCAATCCACTCCCTTTCTGAATTTCTGCGCCACTGTTCCTCTCAGCCCTCACCTGGCACGTAGGTTACACATGCAGGTCAGTGTAACGCCACAGCCCCAAGTAGAACAGGTGTTGCTGTTGGCAGCCATGGCGTCAGCCCCCGACTCACGGAGACCCACGAACCACTAACAAAACGCCACTCAGGACTGACGTGGATGGGACCGTTGGTCCTGGGAGTTTTCATTGGCTGATTTCCAAAGCAGACTGCCAGGTCTTTCTTCCTAGTTTTCCTAACCTTTCTTACTCTGAAAGTTCTGCTGAAATCTGTCCAGTGCAATGCAAGACACCACTGACAAATGGTGGTGTCTGCTCCTGAGGTACCGTGGCCAGAATTGAACCCGGTCTCCCGCACGTCAGGCAAGAATTCTGCCACTGAACGTGCGAATAGTCTTCATTAAAATGGAGCCTTTGTGGAACTGCTACAAAAGTAATTAAAATATACTTTGGTTATTATTTTAAAGATAAGGAGCCCTGGTGGTGCAATGGTTAAGTGCTTGGCTGCTAAGCAAAAAGTCAGCGGTTCAAACCCAGCAGCGACTCAGTGGGAGAACCATGCGGTGATCTGCTCCCATAAAGATTACACCCTGGGGACCCCATGGGGCAGCTCTGCCCTGTCCTATAGGGTCGTTACGAGTCGGAATCAACTTGACGGCACACAACAACAACAACAGCAGCAGCAGCATTTCAAAGATAATAATACACATATCCTACGATCGTCTGACTCTGCCCCAGGGCCTTCTAAATGGTGAGGCATAACTGTGAAATATCCCCTAAGGAACCAGCACTTCATGAAACTAAACGCAGGTAAAAGTGATGGCCTTACTAAACTCCTTAGGTTTTCTAGTGGATTCCAGGCAAGAAGTGTTTTATTTTGGAAGAGAGGCCCTTTGAAAAAACAGGCGCCAATATGAGTTAAGCTTTTTATAATCCCAGGGTATAATTCGGATCCTGATTATTAAGTTCGTGGAGAAAGACGATGGCTGAACATGTCTGTCTGTAGCAGACCGGTGCTGACATATAGCACCTACAGCTGGTGACGGGTTACTACTGCCATGTATGTCAGGAAATTTTTCTGGTATCAAGCTTTTGATACTATGGATACTTTTGCTTAGGGGAAGTGGAGCAAAAAGTAAACTGGATCATTTTTAATGTAAATATTTAAATGTTACGCAAATAACTGAACAGGCATCCTGAAGATAAGCCATTTTCAAAGTTGTCTGAAAATTTAAGGTACACTAGGAATGGCCCCCTAGGCTGAGTTGACCGTGTTGCCTAGGAACAGGCATTTATGTCCATGTCCTCATTTAGTCATTTGCATTCAGTAAATGTGTGGGAGCATTTTAACTAAGTTCAAACTGCCCATATACAAAGGATGTCATGCTTGGTGAAGTACACGGTGGGCAAAAAAGAGGAAGGCCCTCAATGAGATGGACCGACACAGTGGCTTCAGTGGTGGCCTCAAGCACAGCAATGATTGTGAGGATGACGCAGGACTGTTGTACACAGGGTCGCTACGAGGCGGAAGTGACTCGATGTCCCCTAAGAACAACATAACGACCCGCTATGCACAGGCTACACAGAGTTGGCCCAGGCTCGGTAGCCAGCCAGCCCCAGTCCAATTTCCTGCTGGCGACTCACTCCTGGGTGACCCTGGGCACATTCCTAACACCTATGTCTCTGTGCTTATTTGTAAAAAGGGAGCAATGAGTAGCTCCTGCCTTCCAGAGTTATAGGGGAGCAAATGGGGCAGTTCATATGAAGCATTTAGAAGAGTGTGTGCTAATCGTTAAAGGAGTTCTGACAGCATAGCCGTTAAGGCATTTGGCTGCGAACCATAAAGGTTGGTGGTTCTCTGCAGGAGAAAGATGAGGCATCTGCTTCCCTAAAGATTTACAGCCTTGAACACCCTATCAGCCAATTCTATGCTGCCCTATAGGGACGCTGAGTTGCAACTAACTCAATCAGAGTGGGTTTGGTTTTGGGTTCTAAATGTCTGAACAGTAAACGTTAGCTATTGTTATTTATAAGTAGCAAATATTCTGCTAGGCCCTGTGAGATACACAAAGGTCAGTCAGACATCGTCTTCTCCGTACCTGCTTACAGGCAGAAAGCAGCCTTGGTAGGGCAATGCTTAAACACTGGGTTGCTAACTGAGAAGCTGGCAGTTTGAACCCATCCAGTGGCTCTGTGAGAGAAAGACCTGGCCATTTTCTTCCATAAAGACTGCAGCCTAGGAAACCCTATGGGACAGTTCTACTCTGTCACATCAAGTCACTGAGTCAGAGTTGACTCAAGGGCATGCAACAATGATAGGCCAGTAATGGACAAAGGCCCACAGAGCCAAAAACCAAACCCACTGCCATCAAGTGGCTTTCAACTCATAGCGACCCTAGAGGACAGAGCAGAATTGCCTCACAGGGTTTCCAAGGCTGCAGATCTTTACGGAAGCAAACTGCCTCACCTTTCTCCCATGGAACAGCTGATGGGTTCAAACCACCAATCTTTCAGTTGGCAGCCAAATGCTCTAACCCCTGCACCAC